TTTTCGAACGACGCGACGCCAACAAAGAATTATCGAACGATTTCCAAATTTGAAATCTAACAAGGTTTTAAACTATATGGGAATATTTACGCTTGAACTCATTTGGTTTGTTCTCCATTGTTATAAAAATACGCGTCGAACTCCGCTGAGTTCGATTAATTGGGCATCGACGAAAACAAACGTTTGTTGTTCTGTCGAAAACAAGTATTCTGTGTGCTCTATCGTATGATAGCGTATTCTGTGAACAAATACGAATTGAGGACTCCACGTAGTTTTTAATTCGATTGTTAAACATATAAAACCGATAAATGTGTCGATTTTATATGCAAATATTTTCGTTCAACAAGCTGATTGATGATAATGTTATTCTGTATTTTTATGGTTGATATTTTGAAGCTGACATCGTTGACATTTTGAAATGATAACATTTTTCAAATGTTTAAAGAACTTAAAGAGAAAAAGAGTGCAATATTTTATTGTGACTTGGTGGGTGTGCGTAGTTTAGAGTCGTATAGTACACTAAACCCTTATAAATTGAGATAATCCGTGAAGAATAACGACATTCGTTGAACAAACAAATAAATATTGGTGTAATTGCGTCCGAATGGATTTAAGTAAGAAAACAGTTCCTGGAACAACTAAGTATACGTACCTACAACCTATTTAGGATTTCTTGAATTTGAATATCGGTTAAAAGTACTAGATAAATATCTTTATATATTATATAATTCTTCTGTGAGTGTGTATGCCACTGAACTTCTCTCAAACGACTGGACCGATTTTGCTGAAATTTTTTGTGTGTGTTCAAGGGGATCTGGGAATGGTTTAGATTCAAATCAGCCCGGCAGATGGCGCTGCAGTCGTTGTTTAGGTTATTTATCCTAAACGGCTGAACTAATTTTAATGAATTTGTAGTGGATATGCAGGACAACGTCTGTCGGGTCCGCTAGTAATATTATATATCTATTCGACGTATAACCGATACAGAAATATCAACAAACCCTTTTTTAAACCAAACATAAATTAAACTCAAATTGTAAATATAACAGGAAAAATAAATCTAGAATTGAAATAAACAAGATCAATGGAGCAAAGCTAATTCCTTTACACAAAGGTTTGCTTTGAACAAATTAAAATCGAATGATATCATTAACATTCAATCAAATGAAAGTAGATCAAATAAAGAATTTAATATTTGTAATTAATATTAGCTTATAAGCAATATGTTTATAGGTATTAATAAGCAACCAATTAACCCTTTATACATAAAATGTTTTATCCCGTTATATTAAATAATGTATGTCGTGGTGGCCCGGAGGTTTAAGACGCCCACTTCTCATGCATGAGGGTGCGGGTTCGAAACCTACCAACGGCAAGTACCAATGTGACTTTTTCCGAGTTATATGTACTTTCTAAGATTATTTAGACACCACTGACAAACGGTGAAGGAATAACATCGTGAGGAAACCTGGACTTATAATTTCTAATTATAAGTTTGAAATCGCCAACCCGCATTGAGCAAGCGTGGTGATTAATGCTTAAACCTTCTCCGTGTGGGAAGAGGCTTTGCTCAGCAGTGGGCATTTATAGGCTGTTGATGATGATATTAAATAAAATGTAACTAGCTTCTCGACCTTTGCTTTGCTCGTGTTGTCAAAGGACTGCTGGGCCAGGGGTCCAAATCCATCCACATGTTTTGAAACACTTAAATTGCCAAATTTAAAATGGCAAAAGCCAATAAGTGGCACACTGAGGGCTAAAATTGGTTATTATTTTTGACCTACTTTTCTCCATGGTTATATTTCCAGACATAAAAATCATACCATAAAAACGATCTTTAGCGACGAGAAACACAAACAGACAAACACACTCACACTGGCATTCATAATAATTATAATTAATTTATCAGTATTGTAGTATTTTCCCGTACAAAGAGACAATGTGGTTTTAATCTCCTGCATTCCTTTAATAGGGAATTGAACATAATAAATTGAAGTCTGAATAAATTGAGTTTTATTAAAAACTGAGTTTTAAACGTGGTTTTTCTACCAACAGCTCCTATACTGTCCTCATTCTATATGAGTATTAACAAATAATGAGGCTGCCATTAATTAGTTGGTGCCATAACATCAACAGTGAACATGAAGAGTACAAAACTCATACAAGCATTTGACATTTCGAAAAAAGTATACAGTTTGTCTAGTTGTCATCAACCCTACAAAATTAAACAACCCGGGATAGACCTCATAACTTGTTTAATAGTTGCTATAACAACATAAGTGACTCAAATAGATACTGACATTTACACTAGTCAAAGGATAAGTGAGTGACGTCACAGTACTGAGAGAAAATATTTGACATTTTTACTTTCGAATGAACGAGTAGTAAACGGGATGACAGTTCTTGACATCTGACACATAACTTTTAGCATTAAGAAAAAATGTGCGAAGGACTACACTTCTACTTTTTTATTAGTTTAAAAAATATATATTTACATAATATTATAGAACTGCTACGTTGGACGATAGGCCGTGAGGGCGACTACCGAGCAAAAGTTCTCGAGTTTCATTTCGCGAGCCAGGAAAAGTACTATTGAGGTTTTATTATAATGACATTGGTGTACCTAAAATTATATTATACTGTCAAACACCGCGCGGTCACCGGTAACCGCAACCTATTGTTCTTTAATTGTGTCTATAATGACGGTACTCAAAGAGTTAAAACCATCAAAATGTTTCATTGAACTACAACCAATTAATAGTTAGACTATCTGTTATTAAAAAAAACATCTATCTATCTTCTACCATAAATCTCGAACAGTTTTAAACCCGGGATTTTGTTTTGATCAAATGAAATTATGGATACGAATTCCAATTAAAAAATACCAAGATTAATTAATACGCAGGTGGTAATTGGGATGTTCCATATTATTTTTTACGTGGTCTTCTTTGTTATAAAAAGGGAAATAATAATACAAAATATAATATAGCTCTCTGTTTTTATTCCCTGACGGGGTAGTCAGGGATACATTTCTAGTTAGTTTATAAGCCCCCGCTTGTCCCGAGCGGTTTCACTCGCTCTGCTCGGTTCTCATTGGGCTCATCGTAATGTTTTATAACTTATAGTCTTCCCCAATAAATAGACTATCCAATAAAAAAAGATTGTTTCAAAACGAATCAGTAATTCCAGAGATAAACGCAATTAAACAAACATACTTTTCAGCTTTATACAAATTATATTGGTAGAAAATAAGATTTGTAAGCGGTGACCAGTGACCAATTGTCTACACAAGTACCTATACATATTTAAGAAAGCAAACTGAAAAGCTCAAACATGTTTTCATGCAACTTAAAAGTCGAACTACTTGCTCACTCATCGGTCTTACAGTCATTTGGCCACAGAGACTAAAATAACTAATTAAACTAATTATGAAACCTCTGGGTCATCAAAAAATCTGAAAAGACTTTCAAATCGTAGTATGTGCTCCATCTTTGCATTTCTTAAGATAGTACGCTACTTAATATTCTAGATTAAAAAGTTCATAAAGGCTCGGTCCACTACTTATAAGGAATTAGTTTGTGTGGCTGAATATATTACAAGATCGTTGCGCATTGTACAGCTTTATTACTTTTTATTCTTTACACGGATTTTAAAATTAATAAATTAAAAAGAGGTTTTCACAAAATATTTAAGTTTTTTTTTCTGTTTTTTTCTAGCGTTGAACAATACTCAAGTACGTACAAGATATAAATATGTTCGTCTTGAATTTAAAGGAATTTTACTAACTATCATTTTAACTTCTACTTTATTTGATTCAACTGTACTAAATTTGAACTTTTTCCACCCCAAACGAGGATCTTTATGAAGATTTTTCACATTGGGATCAAAAAAAACTGTACTAAATTTGGACTTCTTGCGAACGTAAACTCATATTCCTACATTACAACAAGGTAAGTACAATTTAATGTTTTTGCACTTTACGTATATTATACAATAATTTTATGTAGATACAAACAAATAGAGGTACCTACGATTATTGTTTACACCTTAGTATATGAGAAAGACATAAGCCTTTGGATTACAGATCTAGAGATTTCTCCCACAGTGTAAGGCTTTGCAAAACATCGGTAGCAAGGTATAGAAAAAATAATAATCGGGTTATGTCTTACTGCAGGGTATTTTTGATTAAGTACCTAATTGTTTATCGTATATTTTGGAACGAGCACCTAGCTTCACTGACGCACTATATTTTATTTTGTATTTGTTGACGTTTCAAAAGTAGGTACCAAATTATGGTTTAATTAAAATAAATGCTTTGACTATGACTCGTGTTCTATAGTGTAAATTTTATTTTTTTGAAGAACAAAAAGCTGTGTTGCGGTAATCGTTTAAATTTTTTTTACAATGTTTCAACCTTTTCTATATGACAGCAATTTAAAAAAGACAAAAGATGAAGAATTATATTAAAAGACTTCGTAAAGAGCAAATATTATACAGATAATATTTTTCCATTGAGTTCAGTTTAAGTGGTTCATAAACACACAATAAAAACTTTTTTGACATTTTCACCTACATTAGAAAGATCGCAATCACTTCCACTACCAGAATGTGTAGAATTTTAAGACAAAATTACGTGAATTCTACTTTCACATGAATCCTATTTATGACGAACATTTTGTTTACCGACTGTAATAATATTATTAATTATTATTGCTTTTGTATTAAAAATGAAGTTTCGATAACTTTCAAGTAATATTTTACGTGAAAAGAATCACATTCGAACACATGTATTTGAAAATTCGTTTTTTTTTTAATTATAGCTTTTCTGTCATAAGAATAACAATATTCCTTTGTTTCATAAAAAAGTATTTTTATTTATTCTGCTTTGAAATTAATAAATAAACCCCCTTAAATTCCCCTATTGCTATCACGTCTAAAGAAAAAATAGAATTATGTTTCCGATTTATCAAAAAGAATTTCCCACCGATTTCCCCACTTACCTTTTAGCTTCTCAGCGGAGAGACGACGTCGAAACTTTTCGAACTTCGAAAGATCGGAGAGCGCGAAAGTGCACCAAGTTAGGAGTGAAATGCGAAGTAGCTGGCGCCAACATTTATAGGCCAGCGTTGGGCGGGCTGTGGGCGGAGCCACGCACGCGTAAGTGGCATTCAGCCGATGGCTTGACGTATTTCCTGGGATAATTAAAAAAAGAATTTGTCATTATTATATTTCTTTTTTTTTTGTTAATGACAGGTGACAATGAGAATGCATTTTTGTCATTTGCTGGCAAAAATATGTGGATATTTTTAAAATAAGAATATGATGTAACCTTTAATTTTATTATGTATTTTTCTGAAATTGAAGGTATTTGTAATTACCTGACTGTAGAAAGGGTATTGTTTTTTAAATATTTATAAATTAGTAAGGACTTTTCAGTTACCTTATAAAGCACCTACTTCGAACTTCGGTGCCCAAAATAAAACTTCTAATATAATATTTTAATTTTTAGCAAAATTAACATAACTTACCATGTCCTAAAGGGACAAGCAGAGACCAGGCAATAATACACCCACGTTTAGTTATTTTAACAGTTTCATGTAATGAGACCAAGTCCATTAACATAGACCTATAAACATTTCAGGCTAAAAGGCTCGATTAAGTTTCACTGAAAATAGACACAAATTAAAAAACATAATTTTGCAAAATCTGAAGATCATAAAAGTCATTTATACAAATACAATACAAATACAAAATGTTTTATTTCTGAACCAAATATTTTTAGCAATAGATTGTGATTGGAGCCTCCTATTAGGTAAATATGCAATGCCTGTATTAGGAGACTCTCTCATCCATAACATAACAATATTTCAAAAGTTTTTGGTTTTTACAATTAACAGTTTATTGACCTATACAAATAGATTTATGTGTAAGGTGTACACACATACACTGTGGGTTGTATATGTGTGTGAGGTTTATGACTCCAAACTCCCTCATCATCAGCATTATCATCATTGTGTAAATACGTGGGGCATTTACAGAATGTTTGGCATAGGTATGTCCCTTTTAAAATCGAGGAGGAATGGGCATTAATCATCACGCTCACTCAACTGAGTGAGTGGGATAGCCATGCTTCGCTTGTAACGTCTCTGGTGTTCTAGGTATCCATGGACGAAGCCGCTTGCCATCATGTGATCCGTCAGGTCGTTTACAAACTTATTCCATAAAAAAGTCGCGTAGAACCTAACGGGGTACCCGGGCTCCGGCTCGACGTGCAGGAGAAGGAACGGCGTGGTCTTTAGTCAGTAAGAGTCTGACACTCCCTCCCGCCTCACCCAGGCGGGAGCAGTCATTCGATGATTTTCCCCCTTAATAAAAAAAAAACCATAACAAAAAACTCGGTTCGGAGTTTCCCAAATTGTTACTTCAAGTTTTGAGGTACGAGTTTCGCTTCATTAAAATGCATTTCCATTTTGCATTAAAACCTGTTGATAAAAAAAAACACACAAATTATTAAAATACTAGCTTTTACCAGCGGCTTCGCTCGCGTCACAAAATAATAAAAAGTAGCCTATGTGACATATACCTATACACACAGCGCCATCTATACCAATACTTTTGTTTTTCCTCGGGAATATCAATTTTTCCGGGTTCAAAAGTACCCTATTATTTAATCGGGACTTCTAACTTTACGTCTGCAAAAATTCAAAGCAATCGGTTGAGTAGTTACGGCGTGAAGGTGGAACAAACAAACAAACAACAAACAAACTCACTTTCAGATTTATAATGTTAGTAAGGATTAATTAATACAATATTCCACACAGATATATTAAAGTTAATATTTCTGTGATATTCATTAATAATTATAGCATCGCTCATTAAAATCCCTTCTTTAATTTGCATGCAAGGAAGGAACGTGCTTAAAAGGTTTCATTCGCTGTAAAATAGGTTTTCAAATGACGCAGTTTTATTTTCAAACTTAATAGAGTATTATTAATATTCATTTTTAAATGTATGCGTTTTTGTAAAGTTTAGAGTACAATGACGGAATATTTAATGCTTTTATAGAGTTCTTTTGTTAGGGTGCAGCAGTGGAATAGTGGATGATGTAGAGAAAAGGAAAAAAGGAAACTTTGATGTGATGAAAATATTTAATTCGTTCAGATTTTAGATTTTTATATGGGATATGTCGGAATACTCAAACGCTACTCAATTTTAAGTCGCGCCCAAGTATAGTTCTGTTTCTACAAATTCTTAGTATAATGACAGAGATGGCACGATATTTAAGCACGACTTAAAATTGAGTAACGTTTCAGTATTCCGGCAATAGGGAGCAAATTAGGAACCGGATCAATTAATAGTAAGTGATAACGCAAGACAAGAGACGAGATATGTGCATGTAATCGCCTTTGAAATTTTTTTTTTTTTTTTTATGAAATGCTCCGCGAGATTACTCACACATCAACAGCCTATAAGTAGCCACTGGTGACCAAAGGCCTCTTCTCTCGCTGAAAAGGTTTGAGCATTAATCACCACGCTTACTCAATGCAGGCTGGCGATTTCAAACTTGTAATTAGAAATTGTAAGCCCAGGTTTCCTCACGATGTATTCTTTCACTGTTCGTCAGTGGTGTCTAAGTAATCTTAGAAAATATATGTAACTTGGAAGAAGTCACATGGTTACTGACCCTTGGTATGTTTCGAACCCGCACCCTCATGCATGAGAAGCGGGCGTCTTAAACCTTCGGGCCACCACAACATCGTGTGGATCCGTGAGAAGTAGTAGCAAAATAATTTCTTTATTTTAATTAATTATCTGCTAAATTTAGAATCTTCATTTGGTTTTTTTTTATGGCGTAAGCCGGTAAACGAGCAGACGGATCACGTGATGGTAAGCAATCGGCGTCACCCATGGACACCTGGAACACCAGAGGCGGTACAGGTGCGTTACCGGCCTTTTGGAGATTTTTGAGGATCGTTGGGGATTCAGGAATTGGGGAGATTGGGGAAGGGGAGGGTAATTTGGCCTCCGGTTACCTCACTCACACGACGAAACACAACGGAAGCGTTGCTTCACGTCGGTTTTCTGTGCGACCGTGGTATCACTCCGGTCGAGCCGGCCCATTCGTGTCGAAGCATGGTTCTCCCACAATTAAAACGGTTTTTGACGAGTGCAAATTTTCGCTTTTCATTCACAGGCTTCGGAAATAACGAATCGAAAGTACCTATGTACCTACAGTTCCACGTACGTATAGGTATCTTGCTTTTCACACATTTTCTCTAAATAAATTTGTTTTCATTATGAATAAAATATTTGGTCCAAATTGCTCTGAGTGCGATTTCATTGAGGATGGGGCACAATTGAGCACATGTTTGAAGAAACTCGGTTGTGAGACGTCTCGTACATAAAAATGAGTCTGGTCGGAAGCTGCAACGTAGGTCTGGGAAAAGGTCAACCAAATAGCGAAGGTCCTTCTTTTATACCTAAAAAAGATAGACACACATTAAATGGAACACCTACTTTATGTCAGTGTTCATATAAATCCCACGTAGGTAATTAAGGACAAGCCTAATACAGACAGCACACTGGTTTAACTTTAATTCAATAAGTAATTTTTGCAACCGAACCCCATCGATATTCTAGTTTTCACCCACTTGAATAACAAGCGGTAGGCTTGTACCTAGTACCCACATAATTAAACCTAATTTTACTACAATCTTCACTTACCTACATCTTTTGTATGAACCCGAAAACGCTAAACGAATAAAAAATCTGCCCAATTTACCTGATAGGTAACATCTCACTGAACTTTATCCTTTATGATAAGGTTAAGTAATATTAACACAAAACCTCTACAGATTCAAATAGTCCTAATTAATTGGATGAGCTTTCTCAAATCTAATAGACAGCTATTAGGCGATACGGAATAATCGAATAATTCAATTTCATTATCTAGATTGCCTGAGACATATAGATGTCTGGATTTCAATAATAGAGGATTTACCTACATACACGTTGTTAGGTATCTGCACAAATTCACCTTTAACCTTTTGAGTACCGTCATTATAGACACAATTAAAGAACAATAGGTTGCGGTCACCGGTGTCCTCGCGGTGTTTGACAGTTTAAGGGCTTCTGATAAATTTAGGTTTTCTGTCTCTTGGACTTCTTCCTTGGCTGGTTTCAGTCTAGTGAATCAAATTCAGGTGCATGTTACTAAAAACCTTTCCTTTTGCATTTTTTGTTTACTGATAAATTTTTCAATAGGCTCATCCGCTATTACATGGGATTCTTAACATAAATAGTAAAAAGTGGGTGTTACATTGTACATTGTGCACCTCTAGCCCTTCGGGGATAAGTCGCGGAGAACCTAACGGGTTACCGGGGCTCCGGCTCAAAGTGCAGGAGTAGAAACGGTGTGGTTTTTAGTCAGTAAGAGTCTGACACTCCCTCCCGCCTCACCTAGGCGGGAGAAGACATTCGATGACTTTATCCCCTAAAAAAAAGTTAAAGGGAGATCTACATAAGGTTTCCCTTCAACGAAGATTAGATATTTTGATAATAAATAAAAAAAAAAATATAAAATTTAAATCGAATCCAAATTATTACATACAGTGTTTTAATCCAAACAATGATAAGTATTGCATACTACGGAAGTTCAAATGACATTACTATTTTAAGAGTACCTATAAAGGAAATAGACACCAAGTTTTAGCATTTAGACTACTTCATACTTGTGTGGATGACATGAGTGTAACTTAGTTTGTTGTTTACGCAGAAACAGGGGCTATGTGACGTCGTCCGTCTGCAAAGTTCAGTATCCAAAATTAGTTTATATTTCAAGCGAAATGGTCACAGAATGATAAAGATGATATCGAAATCAGACTTTGTGTTGACCGTGAATAGTTTAGACCTTATATTACTTGTCTTGCATGCCAATGAATTCAGTTAATCTGATCTGACATTTGTCTCAGATTGATCCTTTTATAGGTCCTGTTAAATGCCACTGTCGGAAATACCTTTAAATAACCAGGTTAGGAGTGCGTTGACATATTATTATGTTTGCATAGAAACTGGTTAAAATGGATTACAAACACTA